TATGCACCCACAGGGTGCTACACGATGACATACTACCCCCCGTCCCACAGCTATCAGTCACAGCATTGTTATTCCCTCACCTCCTCCATCTCTCCTAAGCGGTTACCCTCCACCTCCTATCATCCATCTGCTGCTCCATGTCTAACAAAACCTGTGCTGCTGCTCATCAGCTGAAACTCCACTGCACCATAAATGTCCTTCACATGCAAAATGAGGGAAGAAACACCAAATATCATAAGTCTTTGTTTAAACACGACATCTGTGGCTGTGAAAAGCTTGCAGTCAGACAGACTCAACGTCCACGAGCAAAGCAAAGAGATGCTGAGGGCCAAAATAAGACGATTATTCCAAAACGAGCTAAATTTGGATTTTTCCCTCAAATATGTTGATTTAATAATTGCTGGAAGCCAAAATGGAAACTGAAGTTAATGTTCGAACAGCTGATGTTATAAACCTGCAGCGAGCTCGGTGTTCAGGATGTTCGTGTCTGCAGGTTTTCATGACTTTTTTTGCATATTTCTCACAAGTAAGAACATTGTTTGGTTTCAGTTTGGACTCATCAACAGAAGGATGACCCCCCCATGCTGAACAGGGGGGGAGTTCTGGTTGAAGAACAGCTCCAAAATATAAGTTGTCAGATGTGTAACCTCCCGGTCTGCTCGAAAACAATTGTTTATGTGATCTTTTATTAATTACAATAAAATAAAACAACTCTGGGAGAAGCTAAACCACAGGAAAAACATGCTGATGCTGTGACTTCTTGGTCTGAAGAGTTAGAGCAAGAAGTCCACCTGGCTTTGGAAGAGACGGCTGGCCTTCGCCACCGTGTTCATTTGAAATGGACAGCGAGCATCTTCTGCACGAACTTCCTTCTAGTCAACATTAGTTATTCCAGTGTTACTCAGAATGTTTGCTGGACACACGTATTTGTGCTCATCTCACTGTGCAAAGTGCTAAAGTCAAGATTTCTGATGGAAGATAGTGGAGCGATAACAGCTTCAGACTAAAGCCACAGCACGCCGATGTGCACGTGCACAAATGTGCATGCGTACTAACACAAGTCTGGCAGACGTCATAAAGCAGAGGGCCGTCTGAAGCCTAATAATCAGTCTGCCGGCACCTGAAAAAGGCTGTAATAAGCTGAAATGATAGCGTGCAGGACAAACACACACCTGTAATGTATCATCAGACAGGTGACACACGGGGCTGTGCAGCGAGGCAAACAGCTTCCACCAGCAGAGTGTTTTTAAGGATGTGGCTGTCAGGTTTCATTTATGCTGTTACACTGCTGCAAACACCAAAAACACCAACATCTCCGTTCACCTCACAAACGTTATTATTTCACGTCACTGCCTTTGGCTCCCTGGCTCCACTCCCATCACTTTAAAATTCACACACCATGCAGGTCATTAACAGCACCAACCTCACCAACAAGTCTGAATGTCTTGGATGATCACCACTTCCTCCTTAGCCGAGAAGGCAAAAGTGAGCAACATTACCTCCAAAGCAGGGGGGCAGGTATTTACCTGCTTAATACAGGTGTTAATACAGGCGGGGCGTCACAACGTCCATCTTAAAAGGCAGTTAGATTTAAAGATGGTCAACGCTACAACGTTACCAGCTACCTGCCATGTCGGTGCCACATCTGAGGTCACCACCCACCTGCCTCTAAAGCCCCTAATCATACAATACCCCCCACACACACACACACACACACACACACCCCCACACACACACACACACACCACATAGCGGTTATGAGGGGGAAATGATCTCTTTAAACCGACCAGTGTGCTGGTATGTCGTCGTTTTCAGCCCTGGTGCTTCACACTTGGCTGGCAGTGATTTTTCCTTCACTCTAGTATTTGTTTTACAGAGCAGCACAGGAAGCAGGATATTTGTGGTGAAAACACTTTTAATACACAGTAACAATAACAACGAGCTCCGGCTGCCCTAATTATTCAACTCGTGTATCGGCTGATTTGTAATCCGCAGCAGGGATATTGGATAATTAGCAAGAGCTGAAAACACAACAGGAAGTTTGTAGTGGAACTACAGAAGTACACCGCTCTATACAGTTACTGTAGCATCACCAATTAAAGCCTGTTAGAGAGACAGTGGGAATACTCCACACTCTCTCTCTCCTCAGTGTAAAGGCTCGTTCAGTCTGAGCCAGAGGAGCTGCTGTCAGAGCAAATTAGAGCAGGAAAAACACCGGAGAGAAGTCCTCCTCCTTATCTTCCTCCAGCTTCTCCTCACTCCCTCCCTCCAGCTCCCCAGTGTATCCCCTTACTCATTCACCCAGAGACTGAGAAACACACACGTATGCACACACACAAGCACACGAAAGCACACACACATATATAAATATATATGTTCACACACACAGTCGTGTTTTCATATCTTCGTGGGGACATCTAATTGACATAATGCTTTCCCGTTTACCCTGACCCTAACCATAGCCCAACTGTAGCCCTGACACTAAAACCACATTTATAGCCTCAAAAATCTCTTCAAACTCGTGGGGACCAGGATTTTGTCCCCATAACAGCTGTTGGTCCCCACAAGTATGGGAAACTTTCAATTATTGGTCCCCACAAAGATGTAAACACGGTGCACACACACACACACACACACACACCCACAGGCATGATTGACACAGACCCAAATTGAGATTTGAATATGCATGAGCATATGCAGCCCTGCATGCGCACACGCGTGCACACACACACACAGAAACGTATAAAAGCGTGCGTTCGGGATTGATTGCCGGCTGCTGTGTGAGTCGTAGATCTGTCAAACTAACGAGACGCCTTCACCTTTGCTGCGTGTTTGCACCATTAGAGCTGTAAATTACACACAGCACACCTGATCCATCAGCACAGGAGGTCTGCTCTCTGACAATTACTCATGTTGTAGGGACATAAATCTATGGATTTGACCCAGCTTCGTGTTGGAGATGAAGAGCTGACAACAGGTCCCAATAACACAGCTCATGAAATTATGAAGGCCGATTAATTGGAGGCACAAAGACCTGCTGAAATTCACCTGTGTGCAATATTAACCTCAGTGTCAGTTTAACTTATCTCTGATTGTATCAGGTCAGGTTTGGACTTCCTGTGCCATCTACCAGACACATTTACGTCAATGCTAAAATGTGAAATTATTTTCAGATGATGGCTGATAGAAGTCTGCTCAAATGGGAAATGGACTGATTCCTACACCAACCAGACATAACATTAACCTTCGAGGCGTGGCCTCCGCTCGACCCCTGAAGGCGCGCTGTGGTATCTGCACCAACGTGTCAGCAGCAGGTCCTGTCAGTCCTGTAAGCTGTGAGGTGGGCCTCCGTGGATCAGACTGTGTGTCCAGCACATCCCACAGATGCTCCACTGGACCGAGATCCGGGGAATCTGGAGGCCAAGGCAACACCTCAAACTGCTCCTGAACCGTTTCTGTGCATTAGTGCATCGTCCTGCTGAAAGAGACCACAGCCATCGGAGAGCACCGTTTCCATGAAAGGGTGCACACGGTCTGCAACAGTGCTGTTGTCGGTGGGACGTGTCAGAGTCACATGTAGATGGTTTCCCAGCAGAAGATCCCCCAAACTGTCACACTGCCTCTGCCTGCTCGCCTTCTTCCCATAATGCCATCCTATGCTATTTTGCCCACTGCCGTGATGTTCCAGCAGTAACAGCGTGAAAGACTCTCATTGGAAACCCTCCCGTCCCTCCCCATCGGTCCCCTGTATTATCAGACTCACTACCAGCATCACTTTATGGCTGCTGAGATAACAGAGAGCCGCGGTTCATTAGCAGCTCTGAAGCAGAGGCTCCATTATCAGGCGGGGAGCGGTCCCAGGAGAAAACATCACCCTGTGATACTTTTCAGCAGGATCAGGATTAGGCTGCACAATCATGGAGTCACACCATCCACCAAACGAGGCGGCTCGGCTGTGGACCAAATCCACAGTTAGGGATTTTATTCAGAGACAAACACACAAACTCTTTCTGCATCACACGCATTTCTCACTGAGGGAGGAGGACCTACAGGGCATCACTTCCTCCAGGAGGATGAGGTCCACACCTCCACCTGACCACCACACATCAAGGAGATCAGTGTTAGGTGTTTGAGTGTAACTGACGGCACCTCTGCAGGACTGGGTCAAAGAAGGAAGCCAGCAGAGGGGTTCTTTGACAGGATGCAACATGATTATTTTCTTTATTAATATTTCAGAAAGTTATGAAATTACAGTAAGATATAATTTATGTGTCTCAAATGTAGACAAGCCATTAAAAACAACCTAGAAAATAAGATACCAGCTTCATAAAGTAGTGGAACAAAATATAATGTGATTCAACAAAAGAGCCCCACGCGGGAAAAATGTCCCAAAAGAAAAGAGATTTCTTTCTTTTAAGGTGTCCAATGAGTAAAACTGTAGATCAAATCTCATGAATGTTTTTCAGATGAGCGCTTTTCTCCTCTACCTGAGCCCCCACGGCGCACACGCGCACTTCTGTCTCAGTGATGGACGCGCAGACAGCAGCTTGGGTTAGTATCTTGCCAAGGATACTTTGTCATGCACACTGGAGCTGCCAGGAATTGAACCACCAACCTTCGGACCTGCTCGACCTCCTGAATCACTGGATATAAGAAAAACCCCCAAAACTGGAAGATAAGAGAAGAAATGCCCACGAAGTCAAATAAATATCACGACTATAGTGAGAGCGCAGATGTCAGGTGTCCACGCCGCACAGGTGACACAAACCCACTGACATGGCTGAACGTGCTCTCCGAACACTTTTCTGTAAATGGTTCGTCGGTTTATTGAAATCGTGTTTTTACGAGGAAACACAGAAACAGACAAAAACACGGAGCGTGAAATGAACGCGACGCTGTGACCTAACAAAGGAGACCGGGCTGGCGGAACCGGACGGGACATCGCCGTCACCGCAAACTCTGCCACACATGCGCGCGCGCACATCTGCAGTCTCCGTTACCTGGCTGACAGCTGCGGCTGTCCGGGCGGGGTCCCTCCCGGTGCTCGGACGGCTCCCGGTGCTCTCTCAGCCTCCTCCCTGCAGCCGGTAAATCCAGCGGATCCGCGCGCGGGCGGTTCGGTTTGTGTGCGGATCAGCGTCCGTGTGCGCGCGCCTGTGTGCGCCGTTCCTCCCGGCCGAGCTGAGCCGAGCTGAGCTGAGCCGTGCAGGAGGAGAGAGGAGCCCGACAGGGCACACACACATACACGCTCTCTGTCTCGCACACACTAAACACGCCCAGCCAGCCACGCTCCAGCAGGACCCGCCTCCTACCGTAACACCCCCAAAAAGGCTCAGGCAAAAAAGCGACGCTGATTTCCAGCATCAGACACAACAGAACAGCTCAGAGGAAAGTCTTGATTTTATGTTTCATCCACACAAAATATTTGATCTGCTGTGAAGATGTAGAAATGTATTAAGACCCGCTGGCCTTCATTAATTACACCACGCCTCACTCACACATACATTAGATAAATTGATAAAATCTATGACTGCACAAAGCTGGACTGAAAGACAGCACAGAGGCACTAATCATGGCAGCACAAGAACAAGCTCTGAGTACAAGATCCATAGAGGCTGGGGTCTATCACACCAGGTAAGACCCCAGGTGCAGGCTGTGTAAAGATGCCCCAGAGACAATCCAGCACATAACAGCAGGGTGCAAGATGCTAGCAGGCAGGGCATACATGGAACGCCATAACCAAGTGGCCGGCATAGTGTACAGGAACATCTGTGAGAATAAAGATGTGTTTCTATATACAAATCCAGATGTAATCCTTTATTTTCTGATGTAGTTCTCTCCGGGTACTCCGGCTTCCTCCCACAGTCCAAAGACATGCAGTTATGTGGTTAATGTGGAAATTCCAAAATGCCCGTAGGTGTGAGTGCGAATGGTTGTCTGTCTGTGTTAGCCCTGCGACAGACTGGTGACCTCTCCAGGGTGTACCCTGCCTCTCACCCTAAGACAGCTGGGATAGGCAGATGTGACATCTTTGCACATTGCACTTTATGTAGTCCCATGTTGATTGGTCTTGGAGGAACGTTGTCTCATTTTACCGTGTACTGTACCACTGCACATGGTTGGAATGACAATAAAGCCACTTGACCTTGATCATGAGCGCAGGGCACGGGTGAGGTGGAAACGATGTGCACGGGTGGGGTGCTGCGGTGACTTACCTGCGTCTGTGGCATCAGCTGGATGCGCTGCCAGGCTGTAGCACAGCAGAAATGAATCTGATTGACGATGTTTGCTATTAAACTTCCCATCAGTCTTAACTCGTCATCTATTCAAGTTTCCACTTGTTCTGACACATTTTAATATACACCTGACAGTTACAGTGAACCGACCTATTAACAGCAGTTATGGAGGTCAGGCACTAACACCAGCCTTTGGGAAGCGGCACAGTTTCACTGATGGACGGTTGGAGCGTGTCAACAGTGCAACTCGGGAGCCGAGCCTCACTATCAGAATGATAGATGAACCAGGTGCTCTCCTGCTCACTCTGTGCGCTGAGAAATGCTGATTGGGGGGTTTCAGGTGTCGCATCAGTGCGTTACCTTGGATATGTTGGATTTGAGCCGCGGTGCCATCAGTCACACTGACAGCCAGTCAATTAGCCAGCCAATCAGTTGAGAGCCTGAGTGAAAAATGCAGGCTGGTGATTCGATGCTCGGTGGGGTTGAAAGTGTGCACACCTGCCGTGCGCTCAACAGCTCAGACCTGTCACCATCAAGGTTTCATCTTCTGCAAAACACCAGAGAGGGAAGCTTTAGCGGCCGGCGGGAGGTGGACAAAATAACATGAACTTTTAATGAAGAAGAATTTGATTGCTCGGACAGCTTGACGGTTTTGCTGACTGATGCTCCTGCGGTTCAGCCTCCAGTGCCTCAGCCTCTGTGGGATTGCGGTAGTTGTCTCTTTGAAAACTCATACATCACTTTCTTGTTCCAGACAGGCCTCCTTACAGCTGAGAAATGCTGCTAACCGGCCTGCTCAGTCCTCGTGTATCTGGGTTAGCTTAGTTTCGTCCCCTCCTGAGAGCCTTTCAACATCTTGACTCATTATGTTTTTATTAATGACACCATGAATGCAGTTTTTTTACTCATGACTGCAAAAATATTTAAATTATGTCTCATAATTTTCTTGTTGCTCAGTTTTAAAAACCAACAAACAGAGAAGAAGTGCAAAAGTTAATTGGACAAACAGAAACATTACATCACATCATTTCAAAACAGATTGTAATGATTCCAAAATTTCATAAACACAAAATGTATTCACATAAATCACAGAAAACATATTAAATGTTTAAACTGAGTAAATGCAGCATTTTAGTAAGAGCTCTTTTTGAATTTGACAGCAACGTGTTTCTAAAAGTTGGGACGGGGCCATGTAATCTACTGCGCAGCATCCCTAATTCTTCTTTTAGCTGGTGGACCTTTAAACAATTATTTTTAAAAAATAATCAAGTATAATAACTTACATTATATTGACGTGATAATTAAATTGTTTTATTGCATGTGTGAGGAATTACTAATGAAAAAATAATCCAATTGATCTTGAAAAAAAAAACGGAGAAATTTTTTAAAACACAAAATCCTGAAGGCTTCAAGCTCGCCTGGTCAAAAAGATAGAGATGCTCTATTATAAGCGTTACGGTTTGGTTAATAACAAACCTTCTTCGGCCAGATATAGCGTTTGTGTGTGTGTGTTCCTGTCTAGCTATCTTTGTGAGGACCGAAAGCTGCATTCTACTATACTTGTGAGAACCAACAGTCACTTGTGAGGACACACTCACCGGTCCTCACAAGTTTGAAGCATTTTTGAGGCTCAAAATGTGGTTTTAGTGTCAGGGTTACAATTAGGTTTTGGTTAGGTTTAGGGTCAGGGTTAGGCATTCATTTTTAATGGTTAGGGTCAGGGGCTAGGGAAACCATTATGTCTCATTAAGATAGCTGACCGGGATTGTGTGTGTGTGTGTGTGTGTGTGTTTCCTGGTATTTGATAGACTGTACAGGGATGACAGACTCACTCTGTCTGCTGCCCACACACACTCCCCTACACACACACACACACAAAGCAGCAGCTGCCAGGTCTGAGAAATTAAAGCCCCCCTCAAAAAGCTGCAGTTCCTCTGACATCCAGCAGAGGCTTCTTATATCTAACCTGTTTAAATTGTATTAAGGCTTAAAGCTTGCATCATTGGGGGCGTGTCCTCTCTGACTGACAGGTGGATGGTGACACAGGCGGTTGTAGCTGCTAGCTGTCTGCTAGCTTCCCCTGAACTGGACCTCTGCACTGTGTTTGTGCTGTTGGAGCCTTTTGGAGCATTTTAATGACATCATGTGACCAATAATATGGCTGCTGTGAAGTCACTGTACTAACAGACCTTCCAAGGAGGCGGAGCTCCAGCTTTGGCATTTTGGGATATGATTTCGACAATCCTGAGCACATGTGGCTAGCATAGCTTAGCACTCCTCCCTCTCATTCAAATATGGCCACTCCTGGCTCCAAAAACCAACATGGCATCTGCTCCGGTTAAACCTTCGACTTCCCAGAACCTGTGACTATGTCCATCTTTTATATACAGTCAAGTATAACTGTGACTGTGTG